AAACTGTTCATGATGCTCATAGCTTTGCTAGAAATTCCAGTATCCGGATGTACTTGCTTCAACACTTTGTATATATAAATAGCGTAACTCTCCTTCCTTTTCCTCTTCTTCTTCTTGTCGGTCTTGCTAATATTCTTCTGAGCCTTTCCGGCTTTCTTCACAGCTTTGCCGCTCGCCTTGGGTGGCATGATTTCTCAATTTTTCGTATAAGCGCCGTGCACGTGACTGCTGAGACGGTATCCCGAAAAGTATTGGAGAAACTGAAATGCAAGGCTCTTATATACGATAGAATGGCAATGGTGGCGCACCAATCGCTTGTCGCACCAATGCCAATCGTCGCGCATCTCGCACGTCATTGGTCGTTCCAAGTGCCGCTTTGTGCCATAAATAGCGACGAAAGTTCCCTCCGCCGACATAACGAGTCGAAGCATCGTTCGTTGCGCATCGCTACAGGAGTTTTTATTGTATTGCTACAGTCATGTCTGGTCGCGGAAAAGGTGGGAAAGCGAAAGGAAAGGCGAAGTCACGTTCCAACCGTGCTGGTCTGCAATTCCCTGTTGGACGTATCCACAGACTTCTGCGCAAAGGAAATTATGCTGAGCGTGTCGGTGCCGGTGCTCCGGTTTATCTAGCGGCGGTGATGGAATATCTTGCTGCGGAAGTATTGGAATTGGCAGGAAATGCTGCACGCGATAACAAGAAAACCAGAATTATTCCTAGACATCTGCAATTGGCCATCCGTAATGACGAAGAATTGAATAAGTTACTTTCTGGCGTTACCATTGCCCAGGGTGGTGTTCTACCAAATATTCAAGCGGTTTTGTTGCCAAAAAAAACCGAGAAGAAAGCTTAACTACAGCTCAACATCAAATAAACGGCCCTTTTTAGGGCCATAACTTTCTTATACGAAGAAAATCTCTCATTTGTATATAATTTATTCTCGATATATTTTCATTTATTTATCTTCACATCATTAACGTATATTTTTATATTATTGAATTTTGCACTTAGGTACTGAAGCGTTTAAAAAAATCTAATATTACTCAACTTTGAAGCTAATTATAATAAAAAATAGGATTATAGCTATAAAAAAGGTAAGACAAATTTATAGCTACATTATTTATAAATTTTATCTTTTTCAATGATTACATTTATGTATTTCATCTTGATTCTTTCCGAATTTGTCAAGTAGATTTGTGAAGTACTTTTGAGAATTGTCTTTTATATATATTAAAAATATATTGATAAACTATCATTTTGTCTTTTGAAGCTTCGCCTATAAAAATAGCTATTTGGTACTTTGTTTATACGAGAAAACCAAGAAATACAATTAATAGTAAAGAAAATTTATTTCAAAGATTATTCCATATCGCTCTTATCACTATTTCTCGTCATTAATTGATTCAGCACACTATTGATTAGGAATAAGCTAGACTTGCGTATAAAAGAGTAAATTTTTAAAACATGAGTATAAAGAGGAGCAAAGGATCACAGAAAAGTTTTGTGTGATAATATCCAGAGTATCATTAAATCATCCATTCAACTGACTAGACGTGTAAAGAAAATGTTACGAGGAAACAGGTGGACTGAAGATTTTTCTTCAAAATGTCATTCATGACATTGGCGATTACTTACATTGAACGTGCTAAGAAATAAGCAGTGACAATTGTGAATGTCTATGCACTGTAGCGTCAAAGGAAAAACTATATGAATTTTGATGGTTAATTAAATGTAAAACGTATAAACAATCGAGTTTATTAATCAAAATAATTTTTTAGAGCCACAATATGATCTTTGCGTTAGAACATCCTTTGAGTTGCTATAGTCACAATTTATGAATTAATAATTATACTTACTATATCGTTTCATGTCATATAAATCTCTATTAAACTAAAGCCTATTAAATTTTGGAACATAACTTACTATTGATTAATTTGTAATTTGATTGATTGACAAATTGCTTTCATAAAACATTTTGTATATCAAAAAAATTTTAATTTGAATCTTATTTACATTATACATAACTTTTATGTGAATATTGGAAAAATCCATGTCGTCTTTTGACAAAATGATGGAGAATTCTAATTGCATACATATATTCCTTTTTTACTGCTATTAAATAACAAGTTGATCTGATTGCAAATCAATTGCGGTCTAATTGCAAATGCGATAACGCGATAGCGTTTAACTCGCGTTCACCTCCTAAAATATTGAGGCATACATGCGTTTAGTTTTAGAGTTAGCTAAAGTGCAATAAAATCAACTGGATGCTGCTTGTATCAAACCGCACTAATATTTCATGTTTGCATCACATGTTAAATATGATTAATTGGTATGATTATTCATTTATATTAATAGATATCAGTACACATAACCTATTGTCTAGCAAATGAAAAACTGAGAAAAATATAAAAATTCTTTTGACGCAAATATCTAAGTAAAAAATACAAATATCTGAAACCTCTTTTTAAAAACGTTTTAAATTCATTTTCTATTCGAATTATTTTATTTTTATATATAATTATACTTCTAAATTTTCGTAGAATATAAAATGTTTATAATAGTAACTAAAAATTATAGATGTAAAAAGTAACATAATTAGAAATCATATTTCTGAATGAAAAATTAAAATATTTCTAACTATTGAAATAAATCTGTAGAATTAAAGGTAAAGAATGGGGGATATACATATATTAATTGCGATTTTTTCGAAAATGTTCTGTTAAAAATAATTTAGGGCCCTGAAAAGGGCCAGTTGTAATTGTAGCGAGTATTCTGCAAAGAATAATTATTTTTTTCCTGTGCTTTTCACGGCTTTCGCTGCAGTAGCTTTCTTCGGTTTGGGCGTCTTCGTCTTCGCCGCAGGTGCCTTTACGGTTTTCTTAGCTCTTGATGGTGATTTCGTCTCCGCAGCAGCTTTACTCTTTTCAGCAGGTTTAGTAGCTTTCCTCTGAGCTGGTTTCTTCGGACTACCAGCGGCAGCTTTTTTAGCAGTAGCCGGTTTCTTTGCAACGGCTGCTTTCCGTGCTGCAGCGATCTTCTTCTCTATCGTAGTTTTTCTGGTTTCGGCTTTGGGAGTACGTTGCACCTTCCCTGCAGGCTTGGGCAGCTTGAAAGATCCAGAGGCGCCTTTACCCTTGGTTTGTACGACAGCACCCGATGTAACAGCAGTCTTCAAGTATCTCTTGATAAATGGTGCAACCTTCTCAGCATCCATTTTGTAATTGGCGACAATATATTTTTTGATCGCTTGAAGAGAAGAACCCTTGCGGTCCTTCAGATCTTTAATAGCTGCTGTTACCATCTCCGAAGTTGGTGGCTGCGACTTCTTTTGCTGATTCGACTTGATCTTGCTCTTGCTAGCTTTCTTAGCGGGAGTAGAATTGCTCTCAGCGTTAACTGCTGCGCTTCCAGTATTAACTTTGTCCTCCATTTTCAACGAATGAATATCGCGTACAAAACGATCGTCTGTGTCTTGATATCCCACGAGATACAGAATAATCAGATTGTCATTTATGAACACAAAACCTGACTGACTTTAATACCTGGCGCGCGGACCATGGAGAGAGACCTACCCAAGATGTCGACCCGTTAGTTTCGTAGAAAATGACAGAGCAGTAAATGTACTTTGACTTCGCCGCATGATTTCTCTAAAATTAACGTGGTTCAAAATTTGCAAAAGTAATTGATTCATAGCCATGTGCATGTAGTTTTGTTTTAGATTGCCCCGAACGCTTCCGCGATCGTCCATTTTTGTTCACAATAGAATTTCGTCGCTCGTGTCTTTTCGTGCTGATAGCATACGCGACAGAAAAACATAAAAATTAAGCTTTTCTCGAAATATTTCCGGTATTATGCTCCAGAGAAGATGTTGCGACAGGACAGCCCCGTGTTTTTGATTAATCGTTTCCGAATGATATCGATCTCTATTCCAAAAATAAGAAGCTTAAATCCCACGCTTTCGGGATACGCGCGCTTCTAAGGTGCACGAGGCAAATAGCCTTGTTACTTCATAGCTAAATGGTATATAATGCAAATCAATGAATTTCACAATTAAATTTTTATTAATGTTTATCATGACGTTTACAATAAATGTTATCAGTCATCCAGAAAATCAATTCTATAATACCTGTTTGGCAAGCTGACCAGCGAATACTGCGCAGTTTATCATATGAATACGTCGTCTATTCTGTTCGACATGTATAGAAAAAATTATTACAGTAATGCATTTTTTTAGTTAGCATAATTCTTTGTAACGTGCGATTATAATCGTTAGTGAGATAAAAATAATAATTTTAATCGTGCATTCTTAAAGAAACAATATAATCTTGAATTGCGGAGTATTATATTAAAGGTTATACAGACTGCTGCGGATACGTCATTTGTTTTATTGCATTCCATAGTTTTGCATTGGTGTATGGAAAAATAGTACAAAACTTGTCGAAAATTAATATTACCATTAAATAACATCCAAATAATGTCTTTGCACGTAACATTTGTTACATTAAAAAAAAAAAAACTAATGCCATATTTCACGTGGAGCATATGCAGTATCGGCAAAACAATAGAATAATTGTACTCAAGAATACAGTAAAATGTATCATCCAATTATTTACGTTTGTAGAATATTTGCCAAATAAAATAGAAAAATTGAAGACAAAGTTACACATTCAATCGTATTGTAAGGAAAAAAATATTATAACACGCGTATAAAAATACATTTGTTATACTCTATTCATCCACCCATTTGTAATATGTAGCTAAATTTCCAATTTGTTCGATATTTTTTTAATAGATCCATAGATTATTTTACAATTCAGAATTTGTTAACAATATATTCAGCTATATTAAATATGCATAAAGTATTGCATATTGCATAAAGTACATAGTACTGATAAAACAGACAAAAATAAGCGCAAGGGTTATAGAACAATTAGAAATATTTGTGGACAATAATAAAGTACAAAAAACAGATTTATATTATTGTTTGCAGCATATATTATTAATTACAAATTTTTTCGGTTTTTTTTTATAAATTTACAAAATAAATTGAAGTACAAACATAGTATTACATCTTGATATATACAATTAATTACACATGTATACATATCACTTATTTATTTGACATATTACTGTATTTTTAACGCAACATGTAACATATATATGTAACTTATGTAATTTAATAAGATTAATCCATAAAAAAATACAAAACAGTAAGTAAGTGACAATAAGTAAGTGTTAAAGAACCGTGTTACGTGTATTGATGAATTATGCATTCGTAATAATCGTAATAACACTACTTTTATTCACAACTGCAAATTAACAATTAATTATAATTGCTTAGAGAGTCTCATGTTACTGTTCATATGTATATGTATATGTATACACATATATGTACAATACATACACATATACATATGTAAGCATAAAAAATGTTAAATTAATATTTTATAAAACTATATCAGATCCCACATCAGTATACTCTACATAAAACAGGTTAGTTGTACATACTTTTTACTTATTTATAATTAGAATTTTATAATTATTTACAATTGGAATACACATAAAACGTCTTTAACATTCATGTTTTTCTCTTGTTATAAAACTACGCAAGAAAGAATATAGGAAGTTAAAACATAAGAAAGTAGAAAGAATCTTTCACATAAAATTAAAGAAAGCACAATTACTAATTATATTTAATATAAAGAAATCAATCATATTTTCATTCATATAATGCTGCATTTAACTGTATTGCTCCTTTTCGGGAATAATATATATTTACTTTTGTAATAAATTTTCCAAGGTTGCTTTTAACTTGATAACTTGATACAGAAAAGTTGATACAAAAAACTATACTTCTAATATTATATATAAGGTATTTTTGAAAAATGTGATAAATATTAATAATAAATGTATATAATCATATTTTGAAAAATTATTATACTTCTCATTGTTTAAGAGTATTGCTCACGGATACATTTTGCAATCGTCGATAGTTGTATATTGCTTGTACCCTCATAAATAGTACCAATTTTTGAATCCCTGTAATACTTTTCTTGAGGGAAATCAGTAGAAAAGCCAACGCCTCCCATAAAATCTATACATTTCGCAGTGACACGACATGCAGTCTCAGATGCAACAAACTTCGCCATAGCCGCTTCCTTCATCACGTCTTTCTTAGTTTCTACTATTCTTGCTGCGTTGTAAACGAGCAATCTAGCGCACTCTAGTTCCGTTACCAATTGAGCTATTTGATGTTGCAGAGCTTGGAAAGAGAAAACACTCTTTCCAAATTGCTTCCTTTCCAACGTGTACGGTATAGTCGCGTCCAGGCATCCCTGCGCCACGCCGATCATCTGTGCTCCGACACCGATCCTACCCTCGTTCAAAAATCCAGCCGCATACTTATATCCATGTCCAAACTTCCCTAACAGATTGTCCTCGGGTATTCGAACGTTATCGAAATGAACCATGCAAGTACCCGATGCCTTGATGCCCATTTTATCCTCGGGTTTATTTACCGTCAAACCGGGCGTGTCTCGATCGACGAGGAAGGTCGTAATGCCACGATAACCGGCGGAAGGATTTGCATTAGCGAAAAGTACGAAGACTCGCGCCACGTCGGAATTTGAGATCCACATCTTTGTACCATTGATCACGTATTCGGCACCATCTTTCTTGGCTTCAGTCTTTAGAGAAAAAGCATCCGACCCTGAACCAGGTTCCGTTAGGCAAAAACTACCCACAAAGTCCCGTGCTAATCTAGATAAATACTTGTGCTTTTGTTTGTCGGATCCCACTTTAAGAATGAGTGAATTTATCAAAGTGTTTTGGATGTCAACCGAAACGGATACTGCCATGTCAACTTTAGCGATTTCTTCTATAGTTAAAATTGTGCTCATAAAATTGCTCCCTACTCCACCGTACTCTGTCGGGATCTCGATACCCATTAGACCATTTTCAAAGAGCTTCTGAAACACACTGTCGTCTATTCTCCCTTGCTTTTCCATTTTTCGTACAAGTGGAGCGATTTCTTCCTTGGCCAGTTTAGCGACCGTTTCCTTCGTCATAAGCTCGTCGTCTGTAAAATGTGTAAGAGGACCTACACAGTGCTGCATACGCGACGCGTGTAAGTGTAATTTGCGCGTTGCAATTAGTTGTCGCATACAACGCATGTGTAAAACAGATGGATACATGATGAAGCTATCTTCTTCGAGGAAATAGAAAGAAACAAATCCAATGTTCAAATATAATAGATAAAACCCCGACACAATTGTTAATCAGTAAATTGATAATGAGACGAGTAATATCGCTCTACTCGGCTCGCTGAAGACAACTGGTTGCTGTTACGTTAGTACACGCATATAAAATAGCATATGACATGGCATTTAATTTCAATATTTGTCGCACGGACCATGAAGAGATACTGTATTTCGAACAACTCTTCATTAAATAATGAGATGGTAACAGCAGAGAAATAATACAACGCTTTATAAATTATATCTGATTCGATATTTCATTTTTCTGTCTTGTTGAACAACTTGCATTAATGAAAAATTTGTACAAAAAATTTATCTACAACTGGGTATACAAAATTGAGATGATTTTAAAAATAATGTAGTAACTGTTGAGTTTTATACATTGCGAACACATCTCTTTTTTTACTCTTTATCGTAAATCTATTTAATTAAAATTATTCTCAACAATAGATAAATAAGTAAATAACTTTTCATATATAAATGAGAACTAGATTGCTGAAGTATAGTATTTATAAATAATTTTATATTGTTATAGCTTTCAGTTTGACATCAAAGTCTCAATATGCATTATATGTTATGTGTACAACGTGTATTTTTTTCAGTTGAAAAAGTTTTTAAATAGAAATATGTAGAAAAAGTTTAAAAAATATAACAAACAATGCAATTATTTTTTTTTAGCACAATGTTGTTTATCACACAGCACGAGAATGTCAATACTGAATTGCTATATCACTAGATGCATAAATTATACAACAAACACAACACATGTTAACCCCATTATTTAATACAGTAGGAAATTATCATTTAAAAGATATAAGTTGACATAGACCGAGGCTAAAGAGCTACTAACATCGTAACATGCTTTAGCAACTTCAACAAAATCAGATAAAATTTCAAAATTTTTCGGTTTGCACTCAATAAAGAATTAAACATTCCTAAATACAAAACATATACATATATCACAGATGATAGAATTCATTATAAACGCGCAGATAATAAATAAAAGTTCAAGAAATTTCCAAGTTAGACACGTTCCAACCTGGATAAAGAAACGTAGTGAGCGTAGTGACATCACCCTTGATCATCAGAAGCGTAGCTTCTCCCACTACAATTTTGCTATCCAATCAGCATCGCATCCCCACCATCATCTTACTAGCCAATCAGCATGCTATTCACATGCTATCCACATGCTATATAATGACACGACGAGACGCACGAATTTATATCGCTATAAGCCGTTCTGCTGTTCATAGCGTTCGTATCGAAGATGGCAAGAACTAAGCAAACTGCTCGCAAGTCCACTGGAGGCAAGGCTCCTCGTAAACAATTGGCGACAAAAGCGGCGCGTAAGAGTGCGCCCGCAACTGGTGGAGTAAAGAAGCCGCATCGTTACCGTCCTGGTACAGTGGCACTTCGTGAAATTCGTCGTTATCAGAAAAGCACGGAATTATTAATCCGTAAACTTCCGTTCCAACGGTTGGTACGTGAAATCGCTCAGGATTTCAAGACTGATCTCCGTTTCCAAAGCTCAGCTGTTATGGCTTTGCAGGAGGCAAGCGAGGCTTATCTCGTAGGCTTGTTTGAAGATACTAACCTTTGCGCGATTCACGCCAAAAGGGTTACCATCATGCCTAAAGATATTCAATTGGCACGTAGAATTCGTGGAGAACGTGCTTGAAATTATTATACTTTCTAAACGGCCCTTTTTAGGGCCAAAAGTTCTTTTACGTGGAATGTTTATTGGTCTTCCACGATAGTTTCACTTATTACAACTTTACAATTTTCAAGAATCATGTGAATCTAGTCTCAAGTCTTCATTTAAATCTTTCATAATTTCCATAAAAATTAATTTTTATTTCGTTGTTTTATACATCAATAATGTAATCGATATTCGATCTTTTAATAAAATTTGTGAATACTGAAAACTTATTTTTCAAGAATTTCTAAATACCTAATGTCATTGCATAAATCATAATTTTACTTATACGTAAATCGTTCTTTATGTAAATGTATAATGCATTTTATGCGCAAAGACATTTTTTGCGTTTCCCGCGCGATTTGTTATGAGAATGGTGCATAATTTTGGCGCGATTTTGTGATGCATGCTAAACAGGCTTTGTAACATCGGTTACACACACGGATGAGACAGAAGGTAACCAATCATTCTCTTTTCATCCTTGTGTGTATGTAGATTTCGTAATTTGTAAGAAATGTCTTCAACTACAATAAATCAAGTATCCTATATTTACTTTATAAATAACGAAAATAATTATTCGATATACTATAATCGTTATTATTAGTAACAAAAGCGATTTGCAATTAATTGGCGAATTAAGTCGCAAGCTCGGCATCATCGTGTCTATTATCGTCTTATTGTGTATTTTTAGCAGATGGCGAAAGTCTGCTGATCAAAAGAATGTATAGCGAATTGCGCTGTATCATAACTTGTATCGCACATGTTAGCTGTAAGTTTATTTAAAACCTCTCTCTCTCTTTCTCTTGAATTTCTTAATGTGCGATTGCGAAAATCTCAAGAGATGTTTGCAGATCTCACACTATGTTCAAAAAGATCACCGATGGCGATGTCAGGAAGCGACAGTTTCTCTTCGGAGCAGACGGATCTGCTGGGTGGAGAAAATCGATAGGAAAAGGCGAGTTCAAATGGCGCGAGAGAGAAAGAGAGATTGAACGTGTGTGTTTTTGTGTGCGAGAGAGAGAAAGAGAGTGAGAGTGAGTACACACAGCACACAGCGGGTCATTAACGCTTTCGCGTACGGACGAGCTCGACAATTATTTCTCATGTCTCACCGAGCAAATCGTCAACGGTAGCGACAACGATAATGTCGGAGTGGAAGTGTTGCGAAGATCGCGTAGCGTCTCGATGAAAGCGTTTGTGGGAAAGTATTCGTGCTGCCTGTCGAACGGTAACAGCTGTGCGCGATATCACGCGACAAAATGCTGAGGGTGCCCGTCGGTTCTTGACGACTCGCAGCTTGAGGCGTCAAGACGAAGCCAGGTAACCGACGACAGTGGCAATTGCATCCGCGCTGGAAAATGATCGGCTGTTGGCAGCTGGTACGCATTTTTTGCGTACTACTCTGCTTGTCGCTTCAGCCAGATTACGTGCATTCTACTCACATCACCGGCACATTCGACACGAGGGAATTCTTTCGGTTCCTCATAAAGTTCGGCTTCCAGAAGACCGATCGTCACAGACAGAAAGACTCGTACGGTTACATATTCGGCAATGTAACTGCAAAATCGGACTTTGATGTGCCGATCACCCTCGCGATATTGGATCGCGGTCATTTTCTAGAATATTATGGTAATCGCACATTGACGGATAAGAGCACTGCGTGCGCCTACATGTTCAACACGCTGAAAAAGAGTTCCTACGATCCGCATTGTAACGAGGAAGGTCAAGACTTTTTAAGGTATGCAGTATGCAATTCGCCTGTGATATTTTGGAGGTCATACTTTTAAAAGAGAGAGAGAGAGAGAGAGAGAGAGAGAGGTGTACTTGTATTAATGTTAAATGTATTTTACTTGTATTTGAAGGCGAGTTCCGTGCCCTCGAGATAAATTCTGCCCAGATGAAGATTCTGTATGGAATATTGTAAAAGGACATCAATTCACATATGTTATACAAGATTTCTGGCAACCTCGATTTTGGTACATGAGCTTGGTCGCATGCTATAGGAACAAAACAACCTGTCAGTGGGAGCATTACAGCAAGCATGACGAGTTGGAATATGATATCTGGCTAGTAAATGGCAATCCGAATATCAGTGGCCTAAATACTTTGACTTATCAGTTCTCGTATGACAGACAAGATACCATCGAATTGTACTTATTGTTTTTCATGTGTTACATCATATTGGTGCCACTGCAATTGTACGCAGTAAGGTTGCAAAAGCATCCTGTAACAAGATTGTTCACTGCTAGTTTATTATTAGAATTTGTGGCAGTATGTTTAATCTTGATACACGTGTTGAAATTTGCACTAGATGGTGTGGGCTATGAGCAATTAGAAGTTGCAGGTGATATTTTTGATATTTTGTCACGGGTAAGAATCATCTTCTGTTAAATATTTTATTTGGTGTGCAAATACTATAACTCTTTTCAAAATTTAAAACTAACCTAGTTTGCTAAATACTTCAATTTTGATGTTAATTATTTTTATATTTTTAGACATCGTTTATGTTGTTATTGCTTTTACTTGCAAAAGGTTGGGCAGTAACGAGAATGGAATTAACCTGGAAACCATTGGTGTTTGCCACATGGTTTTGTTATGGGGTTGTTCACATCTTATTATACGTCTGGAATATGGTATTTTATTGTTTATTACTCTACATCATTTATACATGTGTCAATTTGCAATAAGTGTAAATTTATTTGACATACTATATCTTTTACAGACAGAAGTTGACATTATTGAAGACATAGATGAATATCAAACTTGGCCAGGATGGTTCATATTGTTATTTCGAAGTGCCATAATGATATGGTTTTTATATGAACTTCGAAACACCATGACATACGAGCATAATACTCAAAAATTGAACTTTCTTCTTCATTTTGGTGCATCGTCATTAGTATGGTTCATATATTTACCCATTATAGCACTGATAGCACTTCAAGTAAGTGCACTGTGGAGGTTTAAGTTGTTACTAGGTAAGTAAAATTTGTAGGATGTAAAAATTTATTTTTAACTGCGTCTCTCGTACTACATTCGCCTTAATAATTTTCAGGTATAACATATTCAGCTGACTGTTTTGCTTATTGTGTGATGGCTCATTTATTATGGCCCACTAGGAGTGAACAATACTTTTTACTCGCGCAAGGCGCAGACAATGGCGATGAACTCGACGAGTTTAATGAAGCGCCACATGTATTAAATAATTATGTAGAACCGCCAGAACTCAGTAAAATAATTACTTAATATTCGTCCACTGGAGATATAATATTAAACTGACAAACGACAGTTTTAATTATGAATGATGTGATGTATATTTGCCAAATGGTCAATCTAGTAGAATGGATAATATGGATCTAATGTGCAGTTGAAATATGCATATTTATGCGTATTCTATAATTAGAGACACATGTATCACTCATCAAATTCGGCCATGTGAGATACAAAGTTAATGAGTGAACAAAACAGAACAAAAGTAAGTGGTGAGTATGATATGAGTATATGCTACAAATGAACATGATTTTCGATTTGACATACAATTAGCGTAACAAAGAAATAGCAATATTAATTATATTCTTCGCAATTTTATATGTACAAAGTCAAAATATTATTAAATATTTACTAATTTGAATTACAATGTACAATACTCACTTGAAGAACAATACGCATCTTACAATATTGATGCCTATTCTTATACCATATATTCCTAAAGTTCTTCCTAATTTTTCGTGTAATATAATTATGCTAAGATATAAAAATTAATGAAATATAACGATATACTACACAATTTCCAAATTCATACACACACACATATATGTATATATACATATATATTGCAAATTTTCTCTAAACGGTAATTTTACTCATATCATATTCATAAATAAGTTTGAATTTAAGATATTAATTTTTACTATAATATATTTCAGCCATTCTATATACATCTTTGGTTGAACAAAAAAATATTGCAAAAAAAGAAAGAAAGATCTATCGTACATGTAAAGATTAATGACATTTCATAAGATATATGTGTGTGTGTGTGTATATATATATAATATATATACACACGCACACATTTTTAATGTCATTTAATTCCTCATTATATTACATCTTGCAATTACTCTCTACATCTACTCTATACGAAGAATATTATGATGTGCGCTTGAATATAAGAATGGTGGAAAATAAAACACTTATATAACTTTCGTAAGAATTTGATTCAAATTCTGTGATTTAAGTATTAGTTTATTGTATGCGGGATAAATAATATATACAAAAGAATTTTTTATAAACTACGTTTTCTTTTAACTCTAGATTCTTTGGCTGATTCAAGTCATGGCATTAATTACGATTGAAAATAAGCCAGTAAATAATAAAATTATTTTTTTATCCAATTTTAATTAAATAAAATTTCAAATTTAATCAGAAAGTGGTCTTTAGGTTGGTCGAAAAAGCGATGATTGAAATAATATTTCATATTTTTGGGACATCGTGTATAGAAAATGTTCATATATTTATTACTATTTTTTATTTATATTATCATATATCTTTTATTCTGTTTAATTTTATACGAAAAGTTATTGATCTGTCAAATTTTCATCATTAATCTAATTTTTTAATCAGGTATATATATATTTTGGAAATGATAATTATTGTATGTCAGAGTAAAAAAGTATATATCACATTTTTTTCAATTGTATTTCAGTAAATCCATACGCTGCGAGAATACGAATATGATCTGATGTGTGAATTTACGCTAGTTAGAAACGTCTTCTTGTCACACACTATTATTGCTCAATCTTGTAATAACTTAGATAATATTGTAAACATTCTCTTGAGAATATTTTAGTGCATATATGCATGCGTCATAAGATCAATGAATCTTCACAATATATTTATATTTCTGATATGCACTGAACGAAAACAATTTTAGTGTGGTCTATTCTTTCTCAAAAAATTTGACAAAGTTGTGTTTAGAATTTTAAATATATGTTATTTTACTAAAGAGCACATTTAGATATGTGTATATTGTTTGCGTGGATACCAATATAATATGTATGTGGGTGTGTATGCATCTGTATACAGACACACACACATACAATTTATTTCCAAAGATCATGAATATTTTCAAATATCTTTTGAGACGCTTTTTATAGATAAATAGAAAAAAATAACATAGCAGATATTATTTTAATATAATAAAATTATTATTATTATATCACATTATTAGAGTCCAAAAGAGCACAAAAGAAGATATCCTTTTGTCAGATTTTGATAGATTACGTATATTATAAAACTAGATTCTTTGATATCTGTTGTTTTATACATCTAGTTTGTGTATCAAATTTTTTCATGTATCTATAATTAATATGGATCTCTTTAGTAAATGGATGGGATGCTATAATTATAATTGAAAATAAATTTTTTTCCACATATATATGTACACATGCTGAAAAGAAATTAATTATATTCAGCATATCCTAAAAAGATAAGTCATTAATAATTTTTAAATTTTTATTTTGTATGAAAAGGCAGATTCTTTTTTTCCTAAAATGTATTTCACTAAAAACTTCTAATTATACGTCACTTTTTTCAATCATACTTTTATTTGTTCCATACTGTTTATTTATTTCAAATTTAATAATATATTTTAATGTTAAAAAACAGACAATTTTAATTTTTGTGTATATTGCATTTCTACATTAATGTTTAATATAAATTTATAATAATCTTAATTTTGACGTAAGGCTATCAATAACTTCATTGGAACCTGGTCCTATACCTAAAACTGTAATTGTACCAGGTTTTAATTGAGTTTTACCAGCATCTTTTATTATGGCAGTAATTAAACCAGCATGTTCAGCTTTATCTGCTAAAATTAATAATTCTTCTTCGTTTGGTATTGCAACAACAATTTTAGGTTGTCCAATTTGTAACCAGGAATGAAACATTTGTTGTTTCTTTTCATTATTTAAAGTTTGGCGACAGCATTCTAGCGCAGCATGAGCACACTGAGCACCAATTTTGCCTTTTCCCATACGTATATCTGACCGGACCGCTATTACCATTTTACAATTTTTTCCATCCCAAGCAGAAGATAATAAAAATCTAATATATCTACCTATCAACAACATTTCTAAAATCAGACAACAATTACTTAAGTTTCGAGTCTTGTTGCTTTATATGTTCGGCCATACAGTCCTTAAACTTTTTTACTTTATCTTGGCATTTTCTCCAATCTCGATACTCTGCTATACATTCCTAAAAATAATTTAGAAACGGAAACATTGTTAATACAACTAGCTTAATTCATAACAGTATAACGTAATTCATAAGTCAGTTGTTTTTAAACTAAGTTTCATTATTTCTTTAGAATCAAAATTAGGAAAGACAATGATTAAGCTAAATTCTAAGCTAAAACAAATAAATATAGATAATCAATTATAAATTAACATTACTTGAACTTGGTAATGTAACTCTATGCAACCGGTCTTTTTCAACATCCGCTCGACAGGATCTTCAATTTCTATATCGGCATCGGCATTAAATGAGGCAGTCATGTTACACAATTGATGCTTAGATAAAAAGAATACGAGTTATACCATTGAGACGAATCATTCGATGAATATTGCTTAAAAATGTTTACGAAATGTACACGTGTGATGCTTAACTTTATAGGTTACGTTACTTTTGTCCAATTTTCACCCGTCCGCTACATTCACAATCGGGTGCAATATTCTGCAACTGGTCGTAACTTTTTACAAAAGAGGTGCGGACGATGTGCGGCGATCGAGACGCCGCCATGTTTAACTGTTAGAACTATCGGTTGCGTGAAAGTAAACCAACGCGTGCGACGACTGCAGCGAGACATCATTACGAAGCGTAGAGCCAGTGTATTCTGCTTGGCCAAAACTTTTCAAAGGTATTCACCGAGGAGACAGTGTCTTCGTTATCGCGTATTTGCGCGACTCAGCAGTACGTTGGCGCGAAGCGTCCGACAGTTTCCAATATCGGCGAACTAACGTTCGGCTTTCGCGAATATCGCTATTGTCCGGGAACACGGCACCGCCTTTTTCGTTATTACTCATGTTACATTCCGCGATAGCTTCTTATTTCTTTCGCTCCGACCGGTATCGTTCGATAATTGTGACGGGTTTCGCGCAACCATCTACTGCGATTCCTTGTGTTACGCATTGCAATTATTTACAAGGATCAGATATATTGAACTTTTCGTAAGTGAAATGCAAAAGTAGAAAGAAGTGAATTAAGTTTACGGTACAAACAATTTACGAAATGTGTTTTATATTGTTGTGCTTTTTGTTTCGTGTTTGATTTATCATTATGAGCGAGATTAAAATGAGTCTAGAACATTTGTAACAATGTATTGCAAATATAGGTGTAACAATTGCTACAGTATGCAGGTGCATTAATTTAATTTAATAAGTCTTATGTTTCTGTTTTTCATTTTGATGACATAATCATAATGATATTTTTATTATTTCACAACAATGTGTCAGGAATATTAGTTTAATATATTGTTAGGGATAACATATATATATATATATAAAATTACATTTCTTATTTGAACTTATTTATATTGATTGAACTTATTTATATTGATTGAACTTATTTATATTGATCTTAAGGGTTTTAAATATTGTTTCTATTTGTTTGGTATATGTAAACTACTGATGCTAAATATAGAGTTTTCTCTGCATAGAGAATAAATATAAGATACACAGCAATCTTAAATATTCAATATAGAGGTACATATTTAAAAAGATTTCTGTTTTGAAAAATATATTAATACAAATGTTTTTAATTATATGCTTTAAAAAAATAGGGGATATTATATACCATCTATTCCTTATGGGCATTATGTGTCTTAATGATACATTATGTATGAGCATGTACATAAAACTATATGTACTTGACCCTAGTCTTAGATCTCTCACACTGACAACATAATTCTCACATCCTGCCATTGTTAACTCTACTCTACTTTAGATTAAGATAATCATTCAAAAGAAAGTTCCACTTTTGAAGAAATGCAAGAATAATACAAATAAATAAATTAATTGGACAAATTATGTCATAATAACTGTACTTATATTTAAGAAATGTTGGACATTGCAAGCAACAAAATTTGTTAATTTATACTATTATGATATAGATGATTTAATGGGTACTTTATCTCAATTGAAGGTAATTAGCACAAAATGTCGAAGAAACCAGGAGCCACCCAAGCAATGCATAAAGTCATAATGGTTGGGAGTGGAGGTGTTGGAAAATCTGCTCTTACATTACAGTTTATGTATGATGAGGTAAAAAAATCCACTTTTATAGTAAATGTGTATTATTAATTTCACAAAAATAATTTATTTTTCACGTTTGTCTCTCTATAAATACTGTAATATTTTTTAAATATATATTTCTAAGCATTATATTACATAAAAATTTGTTTTTTTAATCCTAATCTTGATGTTAAAATCAGTTTGTTGAAGATTACGAACCTACAAAAGCAGATTCCTACAGAAAAAAAGTTGTGTTAGACGGAGAAGAAGTACAAATAGATATCTTGGATACTGCAGGACAAGAAGACTATGCGGCAATTCGAGACAATTACTTTCGTAGTGGAGAAGGATTTCTTTGTGTATTTTCAATAACAGAAGATGACAGCTTTCAAGCTACACAAGAATTTAGGTGAGAAAAGTTTAATGACATTAATCGTTAGTTTCCAGTGTAAAACTTCTAGACAAAAAATTATAACAGTTTTATAGTAAGATTATTTCAAATAAACAGAAAAAATTTTTTCCTTTTTCATAGAGAACAAATTCTCAGGGTAAAAAATGATGAGAACATTCCATTTTTATTAGTGGGAAATAAAAGTGATTTACAAGAAAAGAGGAAGGTTAGCCTAGCTGAAGCTCAAGCAAGGTCTCAACAATGGGGTGTTCCTTACGTAGAAACAAGCGCCAAGACGAAAGAAAATGTGGATAAGGTAAAGTGTTGGTTATATATAATTTCGTTTAATATTATTTAAAACAGTTGAGATATGGTGAAAAGTATATAATTTCTTACATTAATACTATATTCATGTATAATTATTAATGTTACTCTTTAATTCTATTGGTTTTTTTTTAATATGTTTGTAATATTCTTAATTTTATTTTTATGAAAACGAAAAATTTTTTTTTTAAGGTAGGATTTTATACCAATTTTAAGAGTGGAATACAATATGAGATTAAATATTTCACTGCAGAATGTCTAAGCATACATGCATACATATCAATCTATGTAGTTAAATTATTGAAAATGTTGAATGCTTTTTTACACGTACTCTTATTGTGGCTTTCACTTTTTTTAATTTTATTTTTATTGTAATGTATGTTATAGGAATTGATTGCATGAAATATGCATTTTTAAATCAGCTTAATCCTGCAGTCTATGTACATTTAAATGTTAACACACATACACACACGCACAAAACTGTATGTTGTGTTGTTGCTTATGTGCACACAGTTCTCTTTTACAAATAAGGATATAATGTTTATTTCATATTGCACATTTTATATGCCTTAAAGCTTTGAGATAGCATCCATTGCACATTTGCAGGTATTTTTCGACTTGATGCGTGAAATAAGGTCACGTAAAATTGAAGATAAATCTGCAAGCAATGGTCGAGGTAAAGACCGTGCCAAGAGGAAGAAAAAGAAGTGCATTATTCTATAGGTTTGCCGTTTTTTTTTTCTTGCACTATATTTTTTTATGAGAGAATTGTAGCATTTCTTGTTTTGGCGACATTAGTTGTGTATGTATTTGTGTAAAATGTATAAGGAATGTTAATAGTTTTATTAATCTAATGCAATTCTCGTTATTATCATTATTACAGATATGCAATGAAAATGTATAATCAAGTTATTATTTGCAATCACTTTTTGTAAAATGTTAATAGAACATGTTAATATTAATTATTTTCAAAAGATACATAACATCGTTGCATATCTCTATTTTTACTCTGCTTTAAATTCATATTCATATTTGAGAAATTTCATATTTCGTGTTTAACAAGTATTTGCAAAATAAAACACTCATTTATCTACAGAGCTTATTACAGCTTATGCAAAGCATGTTTGCTCCTTTTGTTCTTCTAGTGACATTGTTACATTATTCTATTATAAATCAACTCATAAGTCAACGAAAATACATTTTTAAGTTTTTTTTTTTATTGTGTTATGAAATATAAGAAGAATATTAAATATAATTACTTGGAAAGATAGTCCTTTTTAAAATGTTTATTGAAATTTTGTGTTAAATTTGTGTTAGGTTTTCATATTTTTGAGAACGATCTAGGATTTGTACATACAGCAATTTTTTATGAATGAAGCTATTTATAAAATATTCTCTTGAAATAGAAATACTTTCTTTCTTCTCTCTCTCTCTCTCTCTCTCTCTCTCTCTCTCTCTCTCTCTCTCTCTATCTATCTATCTATCTATCTATCTATCTATCTATCTATCTATCTATCTATCTATCTATTTATCTGTATTTATCTCCCTTTCTTCCTTCCTCTTTCTTTTTCTCTAAAGCAAAGAAAAATATGATTAAAGAAAATATATTTATAGGAAGAGATAACGATTGATTTATGTTTATGATATTATTTATGCGTATAAATTTCTTTTAAAATAACATGTAATATATATTTTACATGTACAATAATACGATTATTGATTGCTTTTTTTATATTGATGTACATTTTAGTTTTTAATTATCAATGCGCAAGTTTCACAAAATTAGTTTGCACAAATGCATAATTAAAAACATATTTATTTCATAAAATTGCAGGTATTCTTTGATTTAATGCGAGCAATAGCTGCTCGCAAGGCACAGGAAAACCAGGGAGATGGAAGTGAACGTAAGAAGAAAACAAACTGCTGCATCTTGCTATAACAAACATAAACAATATGTAGTTTGTGTTATACGGAAGATTGAAACGAAAGTTTTCTGACACTTTACAGTGAAATGACACGAAATTTTTGCTGTTTATTGTATGATATACAGAATATTCTTAAGTAGAATATATTCACATTTAAAACATATACAATTTAATATATAACATTTATATATGTATTATTCACCGCTCCACAAAAATAGGGAACGTTGAGCATCTGAAAAGTGTTCTCTATTTTTTGTGTAGTAATGTATAACTGGTCTGGTTTCCTATTTAAAATATTCACAGATTATTATGTACTATAATTGATGTTTTCTATGAAATTATAAAAAAACGATTTTAATGGCAATACATTTTTTATCGCAATACATTTATCATTCTTTGTCGTACTATATTACTGTTCAATGCATTCCTATGATATATAATTTGAATTAAAACACAAAATTTACGGTGCAATATTTATAATATCAGAATTATCATTAGAAAAACACAAAAGGTTATTTATGAAATTGTTTTTAGAGTGCTGAAATCATAATTAATGTTAATATAATTGAGAAAATTTAAAATATAACAAGATTCACGATATATTTTATGAATATTTGTTTTGTTTATCCGATATATTATTTGTGCAAATAATGTAATTACGTTCATGTTGAAATAAAATAATTGCATTCTTAGTTGATGTTTCTGTGTGTATTACTTATTTACAACCTTTAATGACTTCAGCACTCTTTATTCTGTTTAAATGTTATCGAAAATTATGTGCAAATACGTAAATATGGAATTAAATGTTTTAGATATTCTGGTTTACAATATATTGATATTGAATAAAGTTATGATAAACTATGAAATAGTCAAATAACACTGTAAAGTGACGAAAACTGTTATAACTTGTATTAAATAATATTTGTTTATATATGTAGTGCTTCATATATTAGGTTTTTAATACATCAGTACGTTTCATTTTATAGTTTTTTTCATTAGTTACGGTATAATAGTTTGATATATCGTACGTGTGAGTGAATTTTCTAATAAATACAATTATGTTACATTAATAGTTATTTCTGTGCTCTTCGAACAATACGTGATTAGATTTTAAGATATGAAAAGATAATCACGTATGTGATGTGCAAACATAAATAAAGAAAAGAAGATTTAATGAGAAAATTTGATTTATTATCTCATTAGAAGATTTTAGGATAAAAGATTGTACTGGTTTACTTTACAGTAACAATTAACATTCGTCGTTACTCGCACAATTGAAATATCAAGCTATGATGTAATAATGAAATAAATTTTTATGTCTAACATAGTAGACTGTAATTAGAGACTGATCATACATATATATAATTAAGTCGCTTATTCATAAAATTTTTACCTCTATGAGGTATATTTATGCATAAAAATATAAATATATATGCATAAATATATTTATATAAATATATATAAACAAATTTTAATACATTTTTGAAGTGACTTGACGAGTTACACAATGATCATTAAAGTTCCCAAAATTTACATATTATAATAAGTTTTTTTATGAGGAAGAAGAACAAGTAAACTATATCTGTGTATTTAATTTTGATACTTTTGTATACCGTTGACATTGATTGTGCCTTTTAAGTGTTCACTGATAACGTAACAAAGTCAATCAAACTTTAAGATTATTTAGAAGAATTTTACGACGCATTTAGATGTAATTATATATATACATCACACACACACTATATATCCATATTTGTCATACACATACACACACACACGAACGCGCACGCCACACGACCCATCCACGTGCGCATATATATGTGTGTGTACGTATAGATCATTGCAATTCTATATGTTCGAACTGTTATTTTGTCATAAATTAAAAGCCTTTTTATGTGTAATCTCAACGTACCTTAATTTATTATTCCATCATTATCCAATAATATATATTTGATTTAACGATCGATTTGAAATATGAAGAGGTAGCTTAAATAAATCAAATAAATATTTAAACCATCATGAAAGAAAAAGTATAATAAAAAGTAATAATTCTTTTATTTATGAGACACTTAAATAAGAGCGATGGATTAATTCTGATTGATTCTAAGTATTCCAGTCGATGAAATACATTGAAAAGTAAAGTTTTAGTATCAAGTGATTCTTGTCGAAGTTGATATCATTTTTATTAGAATCAAAATATTATAAAAATTAGATCTAAAGATTCAATGAAGAAGCTATGTTTCGTATTGTAAAATATAGTATTTGGTTGATAAATGTTGTAATAGATTTGTAGCAGTTGGGAAGAAACAATAAAATAGAGGAAATAGAGAGAGAGAAAGAAAAGAGAGAGAGAGAGAGAATAAAATAGAAATATACAGTAATATAAAATTGTATAAAAACCTCTTATTTTTTAGGATACTTGATTTATTACAATTTTATTTATGATGAAGCGGTATCCTATAAAAATTTAAAAAATTAATACATGTTCATCTTACATATACATATAAGTTTTCATGCACAGAAGTAAAGAAATAGATCACACTTTCAATGTTCTTGCTAAATTAAAATTTTTATAATATATCTTAAATGGTCTTAGTCCAGTTAACATTATAGAGTAATGGAAATATACAATAAATATATCTCATTTCCTTATATACATGTAGTGCTCCAAAATCGATGTAATTTTTGTTACATAAAAACATCTTTTAATAAAGTGTCTTCTACAAGTTTAGTACTCTATACAAAGTAATACAAATGTAATACAAAGCACACATAGTACTTTTGTACAATCTCTATTTTTTTTATATTACCCCTTTTTTATGTCACAATACATAAAATATAGTAAACAAATTTTTCATCCTCTTGTATATTTTTATCGATGATAAAATAAATTATAAATTACTGTATATCTATCTTGTTCCTAGTTCAATATTGATGTTGCAAGACTTAATCAACTTTGCAATCTAAGGTTGTTATTCTCAGTTATGGCTGATATATGCTCAATGTATCACGAATATACAACAATGGCATTTAAACAGATGGAATGATAATTTTTTGGACTGATTGAAATTAGGCTGTATTTGAAGAGAGACCTGTTTTTTAATATTCTATAATTTATTGTCAATGTTAAAGAGAAACGACATAATCGTCAGATAATAGCAATAATCGCAACATCGACAATAAATTTCGAGAATAAATATTTAATGATGTATTTATAACCAGCATAAATATATTGCCTTGATAAAAAAGGATAATATAAATGATGCTGTTAAATGCATCACAGTCTTCAAAGGGAAAATCCAGGTTTTTGTGTATGCATAAAGTATGAAAATAAAGACAATTCAGTATTAGTCACAAATATTTCGTACAGCAAATATACGACGTGCATATACGATATATATATATATACATATACATATATATCTCCGCATACTTTACTTTATATACAATGTATCAATAATATATTATATTACTGTGCATAATGATAAATTATATTGACAAAATTATTTTTACGGCTTGCTTAAATATAAAACATTTCCCTTTCACCGTGTGATTATGTATTCTAGTGGAAAATAATATTGGGAAAAGTAACGCTGGAAATTTTTTTAAGGATGAAAACATATGCGTGATACACATAAGTGAAAATCCATACTAAAATCATATTTTATGGTGTCAATAATAAAAAGATAGAGTTCAATAATAAAAGATAGATTTCAATAATAAAAATATTGCTCCGATAGTTACATATACTAATTTATACTTCATTGTGCGCTGATCACAGTTGTTTCGAACCTTCTGCCTTTTTCGCTGCTGGTGGAACACTTGATGTAAGTGGAGGATTTTTTATTTCATTGGATTTACTTTTAAGAACGGCAGTCGATTTCTGTTTGTCCTCTTCGATAGACGAACCTGTATAGGATTTGCTTGATTCTCTAACAGTATCGTCTACCAGCTCTTCTTTGTCAAGTCTCGGTTCGATAGTAACTGGTGTAGCTGGAACCGTAGACTTATGCGTAGCTTTTATAGTTTCCTCCTCTTTGGATGCATCCTTGAAATCCCTTTCTAACGACTTTTGTATTTGTTGTTCTACTTCCAATACTTCTTCTTTATCCATCAATTCAATCAATTCATTCACTTGCTCTTTACTTAATTTAACATCTTCCTTACCTATCAATTCTACAACCTGCAAAAATTGTATTGTGTAATTAATTGTGTAATAATGTAAGAAATATATAAGTATGTATTACTAATAAATATATACATATTACAAGTGCATATAATTGTAATCATATTTCTATATATGTACACTTGTATATTTATTGCAATTGATGAAAATTAATAGTCTGAATATTTCAAGACCTCTTCTATTTTACCTTTAAGACATCTTCTATTTTGATCGCACCATCGTGATCATCATCAATTTTCCCTAAAATTTCTGCTATACGTTTTAACCGATATTCATCGGGTACATTTTGGATTTGCTTAATAGCTGCGACCAATTCATCTATTTTGACTAATTCTTCAACATCTTTGGAATCCTGTTTCTCGTCAGGACCCAGCGATTTCATTCTTTGCTTCACTTTCTTCTCAGATTGTTCGAGCTCCAGCAAAACGGCATCCATTTTTGAGATCATCTTATTTACTTTATTAAATAATCTCTTAGCACCTTTTGATATTTTAATATTTTCTATATCCGCTTGACCCTTTGCTTCTGCTTTAATTTGATACAGTTCCTTAATATCTTCTTGATACTCTGCCATTTCTTCCTTGAGTTCTTTGATTTCCTCTTTCTCCACAGCCATTGTTTTATTATCCTAGAAATAAGATCACGCAATATTGAAAATTTTATAAATCCTGCAGAATTGCTTGTTAAATGTCTTATTTATATATCAACCTTGCCAATTGAATCCAGAGCTTGTTCCAAAACTTTTACATCTGTAGTAGTAATTTCGTCTTTCTTAGTACTAGATTCTGAGATAATTGGTTGTGGTTCGATTTCCTTCTTTTCCTTTCTCTCTTCTTCGATCTTCTGTTCTTCCATTTTTATGATTTCGATATTTGTCTTATGATCCAGTTTACCCTCTTTCTCTCCAATAGCACCTTTCGTACGAGCCACAACTGCGTCGGGTAAAGCCGAAATAGTCGCCTTTAGCTTGTCTGACATAGGTACTGTTTCCGGTATCATAAGCGCTCGTGATAGTAACAGTAAGGAAGGTGGAACCTTCTTATTTAAACTCAAGTCCAACCATTGTGATAATTGTTCCTTCAATCTGTTCTCTGGCATTCCATAAGCGCGCATACCACGTGCTCTGCATGCTTGTTGCAATTCAGTTCTAGTTAGAGTGTCAACTCCTTCCTTTTCAATCAGCTGTCAAAGAAGAAGAAAGGATTTAGTACTTTAATTGTCAAAATCCAAAAGAATTGTATAAGGAAAATTATAAGTACTTGGTCGTCTGCAGTAAGACTTCTTAACCTCATCCTGAGCAAAAATCGTAAGAAATTGGTAGTTCCAAGCGTTTGCACATCCAATACACGACATAAAGCAATCAATTGCGGTCGTGAAAGAGAGTCTAGAGTAATTTCATCTTCGAAAAGTTTGCTAAACTTCATAATTTCTTTATTAGAGGCAACAGCGCCAGTTGTCCGCACTTTGTAGAAAAATTCTACAAACTCTTTAGCTTTTTCAGAACTGTGATCTGACGACTGCACTGCCATTTCATCCAATGTTTTTTGCAAAAATTTTGCCATTTCTATTTTGACCTATTTATAAAAAATATTGAAAAATGTAACATTTCATTAGGTTTACATTAAAATATAATGTTTACACAGAAGCTTATATGAAATACCATTTTCATATATTACATTTGCTAAATCTTGTTCTTTTCCTACATATAATATTCTCTAATCAGATTTTGTTTTCATCTTTAAATCAGGTATTTTTATACCTTTAGAGCCTGTTTAAGTTTATCTTCTTTCTCGGTTGCTGTTTGGAAAGTAGAAGGCAGCATACCAGGGAACAATTTAATTGCAACAGGAAGTAAAAATTCCATAAACGGAACAATGATGAAAACAGAGAAAGGAATCAATCTGAACACATCTCCGGTTGTTTTTACTAGCTGTCAAAATAAATGACTGAGTTAATAAATCTTAATGTTAATGTAACACATCAGAATTATATAACAATTATTTAACATACCAAACGATGCTCCCGTCTACTGAGTTCGTGTCCATGTAAAATTCTCCATATTAACTTTGCCGAGACCTTCATATCGAGCCCTAATAATCGAAATCCATGATAATAATGCAATATTTCCCCTTTAATCCTTTGCCAAATTGTAACTTTAGCAACAACTTTTTTTGTGTCACAGTCTTTTGCAATACTATCTGTTTTCTCTTTAAGTTCTTTTTCCTCTTTAATGTTCTTTACCGTCTCTTCAATCTTAGATGATGACTCCTGGCCCTTCCACCTTGGAGTTACATAAAAGGTACGAATTTGTAAGCATGTTGCATTATTGATATATGCTGGTGGTACAATGGAATCTAGTGTTAACTTTTTCGAATTTTTCAAGTCGGTATAAATTACAGCTATACGACCCATTGTATGATTGGTGTTATACCATAATTTAAATGGGGCATAATCTGAAACAATAAAGTGTTTAATTATTTAATAATTATAAAATATTAAACAAAGCATTTTATGTATTAAATTTAATGAAGGTGGAAATTAATTACAATAACAAATATTTGCTTTTAATCATAAGTAAAGAATCAATTTTTTAAAAAGTAGCTTCTAAAGTGGATTAATAACAATTTATAAATAATCATTAAAATAAACACAAATAATAATACATATATGTATATAAAAAGGTACTTGTTGATAATTATAGATTAATATAAAAAACTTATAGCATGTGGTACGACATAACCTGTTAATTATTTCATGTTTTTTTCGCAATGTGATGATTGAATTATAATAAGAAAATCGTTGAAAAAATTTGAGGGAATTATAAGAGACGTGTTATTAATCTCATAACAACAGATATGGTATCTATTGTCACGTAAATGTAATAGAAGTATTATCTAAGTATTACAAGTTGTAAAATTGTGTTAATCTATAAAAGGATATGAAGTAATACGCAATGACACGCACATCGAATAATTCCACCTTGACCGGACATCATCGTTTTTGCGTGAATTAGGGTATTCATGGTGTACTAATCTTTCTGTAAATATCCAAATTCCTTGAAATCGTCGTGCTGTCTTGCTGAAAATACGTAAAGAATCACGGCCATAACACGCCACCGTCCACTTTGAACATAGTACCCAGTGGCTGGAGTCAAAGATCAGCTGGTATCACACCATTAGTATACCACTGATATACATTGATAAAAAGATAAGAAACTCACTTGCATGTCAATGGATAAATACGTATATATCAATATATATATATTGTTAGGTCAACGTCTCATGACACATTTTTCGCGTAATGCGTAACCGCGTAAACCAATCAGAAGCGTAGTATAAATGAAATGATGTTTCGTTATGCTTATACGAAGCTTTTGATTGATTACGCAGTTACGCGTTATGCGAAAAATATGTGCCATGGGACACCACCTTTAGAGTTCACTACGGCTGCGTTCCGAAATTCACTGCCAATTCCACCTACTAAAAATCTACAATATACGTTACGTAAACTATAGATTTCCAGTACTGGTAGTAAATTTCTGAACGCAGCCTACTTCTAATTGGTTCCGCCATTACGAACTTCAACCAATCAGTACAAAGTGACCAGCTCTTAGCCAGCGGCACACGATGCGTTTTTACCCGCGTAAATGTCTGAAATGCACCATACAGCATACAGTATTTTTAGTAATTTACTAGCTCGCAAGCAATCCAACAATGATCCAATAGGTAAACACGCACCGTGTGCCGCTGGCTTTGAGGGTCTCTAATGGTTTCTAATACGACCCTGCATGTGACGCCATCGCAGTTTTCGAGAGTACGAAAACATTTTCATTGATAGCGGTTTTCTTGTTGCATGTAATTGATTTTTGCCGTGTGATTTTTTTTCGGTTAAAAACACGTTGTTGATTAAGAAGTCTAACTAGAAAGTTCAATTGAATAAACAGTATCGATAGCATCGTTGTTATTGCGCCATTCGTTTGGCTCTTATGTACGTTATATACGTTAGTGTCGAAATTAGTATTCGGAAGATAAATTGTCATCGAGCAAGCGGTCACTGATGGAAAGTATTTCAAAATCTGTAACGATGAGCGACGATCAGACAAACGAGCAGAGTTCGACTACAGAGGTAAAATTTGTCTCGTTAATTAGACGATAATTAATCAAAATGAATTAAGATAATCACGATGAATGTTGGATGAAAGAATAAAAGAGGTACATTTAATTATTACAAGTGTATTACAGAATTATTAAGAAATTATGAGTGGCAAATTTTTTTTTTATTAGCAAGTCGTTACATTATATATATATATCCACTATAAAAATCCACTTGTATCGATCAATTATTAAACATCTTTACATCTTGTATTTATAGTGTTATATTATATATAATATGTACATATTTGGATAAATAAGTATCATAATTTTTGCAAATTATTCATACAATAAATTCTAAATTTGTTAAAATGTGGCAAAAAATAAACTGGTATAATATTGCATGTTGAAATTAATTTTTATAAAAATTACAATGTATGAAATTTTAGTAAATTACAGTAAATTTTAATAAATTATAGTATTTGATTTTATAGTAATGATTTGATTTAAGTAGAAATAATTCTTCACAAGAATTTCGCTTTTATGTGGAATTGGTTGCTCTTACATTTTATGTATATAACTAGATTTTTACTGAATTTTATTACAGTTATCATCGAGTGATATAGAAAAATTGGAAGAAGCAAAGTTAAGAGCAAAATTTCCAAATGCAACTGGTCGACCATTTGGTGGCCATTCTGCATTTCTGCAAAAAAGATTAGCCAAAGGGGTAAGTATCAAACCCAATTTTTATCACATAGAGCTCTGATGTTCTAATATTTAGAAAAATATAGTTTTTTAACTTTTTACTTGATTTAAATGATTAATAATTTTAATATTTGCAGCAAAAATATTTTGATTCCGGGGATTATCAAATGGCAAAACAAAAATCCACAGCTAAGCCAAAGCCAACTGGCGTTCTGCCAACAGGAGATGCTATACCAACACCAGAAACAGTACCACAGCGAAAAACATCTATTATCCAACAAAAATTCAATACATCGACAACGTCTTCATAAGATATTCCTGGTACTTCTTAAATTACATTTTGTTAATTAGTCTTATATCTAGATGAATAATATGGTACAATTATTTATAATCAGATTTAAACAACTTTGTATTTGGAATTGTTTTTTTTTAATCTTTTAAAGATAAAACATTTTATAGTATCGTAAAGTTTATAAATTTGTAGCAAGTCAACTATTTTCTAACTGCTTCTTTTAAAAGAACATATTGTTAAATACCATATTATTAAAAGATATTAAATAATGTTTTGTATGTACGTGCCATGGGTGGTATATGAAGTTTTATGATGCGTGTGAGTAGACAAGTCACTACCTGTCAGCTTGAAAAGTTTATATTCTTATTAAAAATTATTTTGCAGTTTTATTCAGGATATCAGTTTGATTTACAGTGAAAAAAATACAGGTTTACACAGAATTGCATATGTATTCAGATTATATTGTTAGCTAATAAATGCATGCACATATGTAAAAATTTATATTGAAAATGTGAGAAAACAAATGAACATTAACTCTAACAATAGAACTTAATAATGTAAACATAATAACTGGAATATAACCCAAGTGCACGATAAGATTGAGAGTAAGAAGAAATACAGATCTGCATTTTTCCAAGCAAAGCTGCTGTGATGCGCTTAGTAAGACTATTTTCTTATGAAAAATCGTAATGACTATGGGAAAAATCTGTAGTATGAACGTAATAATTTTAAATGTAACTACAGTTTTGCTTATTGTAAACTATATTTAGTAATATATTGCAATTTGAAATCTTTACTCTATAATTAGTTTTTTATCTTCCCATTACAATAATTATTCCGAAATTACAGTATATATGTGCATACATATATACATACATATATGCAAAATAAACAAGATACAGCTATTTCATAATTTCTTGTACAATGTATAATTTTTATCATTTATAAATAGCTTCTCTCTTCCATCCCTCTGTCTTGTTTTCCCTCCTCCCCTCCTCTCTCTCTCCCTCTCTCCCTTTATATATATATGTGTATATTGTTTATTTTAAATTTCTACATCAGCATAGATGTATCAAAGTAATCTCTTTCAGCGCTGTTTGGTATTATCTATTTTGCAGACAAGTTACTTGTGCAACTGAAAGAAACATCTCTTTTCACTGTTTGTTTTGATGAGTATTACAATTTAATTGAAGTATTAATACAAATTAAAAAAAAAATTATCTAATAATTTTTAATAACTTTATTTTTTAAAATGCTTAAAGAGAGAGTCACGTGTTATGTTATATTTAACTAAATAAAGGTGCAATTTTTATACAATATTGAATTCTTCATATATTGTACTAAAATATAATTTTATCTCGATATAACATCGTATACTTGACAAACATGTATATAATAAGTAATATAATTATCTTACAATTATAATATTGACTGTAATATAATATCTTACAATTATAATATTATATATAACATTGAGGCCGTTTATTTTTTCAACTTAAGTTTAGTCATTTCAGTAAAAATGAATTCGAAATAATGTATTATCTTTCTAGGATAATATCTTAAATATATCAGATTTTACGTATAAAAAATATTGTCGCAGGTTTCACATGTGATTTATTTGATTTACGTTTGTGGAAAAGTTTTTTTAGTTATTGATGCTTTATGTTGCAGTACTGGTATGTAAATTTCATTCATACAGTTTATCTATCAAATCAGCGTACATCTTTGCAACTACATTCTTTTTGAGCTTCAACGTAGGTCCTAATTCACCAGTTGGAATTGAAAAATCATGTGGGAGAATTTCGAATTTTTGTACCTTTTGAGCATTACTCGTAGCATGTGTGTTTGCTCTCTTGATTGCGTTATCGATTTCCTCATATATCTGAAAGAATGCACATTTTAACAGTTCACTAATATATAATAAAGATATAAATGTATTTAATTGCACGACACACACACACAGAATAATATTGTGACGTTGATTGTAACTTTCTTTTAAAATATTTTACTTACGAGTGGATCACGGGACTGTATGACCTCTGTAACTGTTTTAGCCTTACTGCCAATAGACTTTGCCCATCTTAACGTATCTGGGTTTAACGTATCCAAAGGTCCACCGGTTTCAGTATTCATGTCACTCTGAAAGAAAGAAAAATCATAACATGAATGTTTAAGTTTGCATTTGTTATTTTCCTATTCGTACCTTAAGCGTTACAAGGACTGTTAAATATTTCCTTTTATCCCCAATTAGCATGGCATTACTTAACACGGGTAATTCTGTTAGTATTGCTTGCTCTATGTTGTAAGGCGCTATGTTCTCTCCTCCACTTGTGATTATAAGTTCTTTTATCCTACCTGTATATATATATATACAAAAGCTTGTACACTGTTACGTCCATATTTCCATGATAAAATATATTGTATCTAATTATTTTTGACATCAATGCGTAATAATAAATATTAATATGACGACAGATAAAGGATGTTTACCGGTAATGTACAGGATTCCATCTGAATCGATTTTACCGAGATCACCACTGTGTAACCATCCATCTTTGTCTTTAGCTTCTGCGGTTTTCTCCGGTGCATTTAAATAACCCATAAACACGTGCCGTCCAGCCATGCAAACTTCTCCCTCACCATTTTCATCTATATTATCTAATTTGGTATATACTCCAGGCAAAGGCTGTCCCACACCTTGCAGCCTAACAACGATAATGAGAAAGTCATTATTATGTAAATTACAAATTGAAAAGAAAAAAACAACTTTATATACCGTTATTGCGATACTTGATTATAACACAAGGAATAATGAAGAAGATATAATTACTTGTACTGTTTATAGGTAATTATTGAATGACTGCCGCTACATTCAGACATTCCATATGCATCTATTATAGGTATATCTAAACTCATGAAATACGTTTTAACGTCCATACTTAAAGGTGCTGCTGCGGTAGCAAATATTTTGCATTTATTTAAACCCAGTGCTGCTTTTACTTTGTCAAAAACAAGCCACTTTGCAAGAGTGTAGCCCCAGTGTTTGTAGTCCGTGCCATTCATTTTATTCGTGTGATAATGGAGCCCTTGCGTTTTCGCCCATTTAGCAATCCAGGTTTTTATCACGCCGTTGCTACGCGCCTTTTCTTGCATCTTCTCATATATCTTCTCCCATATTCGAGGTACTCCTAAGAAGACAGTCGGTTGCGCCACAACTAATGTATCCAATAACGAACCCTTGAGCGCGTTCTTGTCCGCAAAGTACACCGTAGCTGCCATGTATATACTCAACATAATGTCACATAGCTAGAATTAACAAGATAATACATTATTACGAATCGATATATACGTTCAATCAGCTTTACGATAAGTATTACGCAGCTTTCACTCAGATGCAATTTATACAATGTGAAAATTTGCATTTACAATAATGCTACGAAAGTATTTTTCTTTAACCCTGAAACATTATTTTTCTATCTAAACAATATCACCTGCGCCGCAACATGAGATAACGGCAGGTAGCTAATTATAGTTTCCGACTTTTCAGTTATTTGTATCGCATAATGTAGCAATCGTGCGTCATGTATGAGATTGTCATGGCTCAACATTACAGCTTTTGGATTTCCAACTGTTCCTGACTGTAAAAATAAGTGATGTTTTGTAAATTAACAAACTAGTATATGGAACAATTGATTCAATTAATATGTGATATGTGTGATGTGAATTGCACGTACCGTATACACTAAAGTACAACATTCATTTACTCCGATCGTTTTTAACACAGACAATAATTTATCATCGGATTCCTTTTTACCCATTTCCAATAAATCATCCCACTGCGAAGCAATGATAAATTATATGTTATATGTATAAAGAGAGAAAGAGAGAGAGAGAGAGAGAGTTGGAATCAATTTACGCACGCTTAAAACGTTCTCTTCGACAGGTATGCCTTCATATTGAATGATCGCTTTTAAATTTGGCAAGTTGCATTTTATTTGCAAGATTTTTTCCAATTGTTTCTGATCTTCAACGACTATTATATTTGCTTGACTATGTTCAGCGCAATATTGGCACGCTTCCGGAGAGTTTGTCGTATAAATTCCTGTAGCAAACCCACTAAAAAAGAATGAGCTATTTATTTTAATAATCGAAAAAATGAAAATACGCGTTATTAAGAAATATGTCAATGTAATTATCATATCTGTAAAGTAATAATATATAATGTAAATTGTATATAATGCACATTAAAATATTTAGAATAATTAGAATTAGGAACAATTAGAATTCTTTACCCAGCATATATAGCCGCGAGATCGGCAATGAACCATCGTGGATTATTGAATCCCAATATACAGACACTGTGAAAACGCTCCAAACCTAGTTTTAAAAATGCTTTAGCTACAATTCTTACATTCTCTTCATATTCTCTGCAATAAAAATTTACACATTGTTGATTGCGTCATTTTTTGTAGTAATTGCTGAATTGTTATCGAATTTATATATAAATCAATTTAAGAAAAATAGGAGAAAAAGCATTTACATTATCGATTTATATTTCGCAAAATTATAATTAAAAGAAATTAAAAATTATGCCAAATGTCGTTATTATTTGCTTATTGATCAATTTTATCGCTTAATTAATTTAGATAATGAAAAACCGGGAAAGATCTCAACTTATCGCCAACTGTCACACTTGCTGGATTTTTTTCTTATATTATACATACTGATAAGTATACATGGTCCTTTTGCCGCTGATGTCCGGTGCAGATACTAAAGCAATGTGATCAGGATAAAGATTTGCTGTTTTCATGAGAACGCTAGGAATTGATACGGGCAAGGATGCATTATACCCATTGCTATCTAACTTTATTCGAGTTCTGCCGTTAGCTTCACATGTGGTATCTATGTCCGAGGCCAATACCTGATCAGGTCCTGAAAATAGCGTGTTTTTATTCTCTTTTTTTGCAACAATCGCAACTAATCTACGCAAATCACTTTAATAACATTAAAGACTCCGCTAATGAAGTGACGAAGTCTAGTAAAAGAGAAAAGGCAAATTAAGAACGATATTCCGCTAACAATTGCCAACAATCGTAATAAAATCGGTAATTGGAAAAGAAGATCAGTATACAAAAAATTGACTTCATAATTACAAAAGGAAATTTCTCAATATATATATATAACAAATATTATATATAACAATATATATAACAATATTACCATCAAATCCAGTCTCACTAGCTGTTGCATATCTGGTCGAATAATTCATTTCCTACAACAATATTTTACATACGCTTGTGTATTTTACTCGCTAGAATATTATGATATTAATTTTAAATAAATTTAAAATATTACGTAGCGCACAATATATATGGTGTGCCCGTTAAGTAATCAGACTGAATTTTTTTCTCAAGGACTAATAACACTATAAAAACAAGACCGTATCAGTCGAAAACTACGTCCTTACTTTTCTTCAATGCAACTTTCAAACTGTATGTTTCAGGGAGGTCTGTATGTTGCGTTACGGGGAGACGCTATTAGCGCTATTTAGCGCTATCGACTGTTCACGGAGCTAGCTGGTAGTGCTACCAAACGCAATTATGACGTCATTAATGGTAGTTTGATACGTCATAACTGCGCGCTATCAACGCTATTCCTTCCGAAGTAGTGTGTTGATAGCGTTAACGTTTGCGAGCTCCGTGAACAGCAATAGCATAGCGTGGTAGCGCGCTTCTGCTAATAAAAATGGAACAAGATCGTAAATAAACAATATTAACAGCAGTAGCATTTATAATGCAAGAATTAATAGATTCATCGTCTGAGAGTGATGATGGTGAAGAATGAAAAATTATAGAATAGAGTATAAATGTAAGAAAACATGTACCATGTCTCAGCATTAAAAATTAAAATATCGGCATTTCTCACATTTTCCGTTGAATTATCAGATGAATGTTTGTAACAAAATTAGGTGTTATTATTTCCAACTAGTTTAATATTGGACAAAAGATTTATAATTGGACTGGATCTTTTGTCCAGCATTTAACGTGTTGAAAATAATAACACCTAATTTTATTACAAACATTCATCTAATAATTCAACGGAAAATGTGAGAAATGCCGATATTTTAATTTTTAATGTTAATACATGATACATGTTTTCTTACATTCATACTCTATTCTATTATTTTTAAATCTTTACCATCATCACTGTTAGACGATGAATCTATTAATTCTTGTATTATAAGTGCTACTGCTGTTAATATTGCTTTTTTACGATCTTGTTCCATTTTTATTAGAAGACGCACGCTACCACGCTATGCTATTGCTGTTCACGGAGCTCGCATTCATTAGCGCTATCTTGGCTTCGTGAACGGAGCTAGTAGCGTTAGCGTTGATAGCGCGGTAGCGAGCTGCCCGAACGCACCCTCAGTGACGCGTCAATGAAAAACGCGAAAATGGAATATCGAGCAGCGTTATGCGATTAAATTAAACAAATTAAAACAAATTTATAGAGATCAAGTTCTATTTAAGGCTTGTGAAATGTTTCTGTTGCATTGTCTGAAAGTTTGACACTGAATTTCACCGCATAATGCTTGTGATAACGTTATCACTTATCAAGTTGAAACTTACATTAAGGGCAAGGACGTAATTTTTGGCTGATGCAGTCTTATTTTTACACTGTTGCCAGTTCTTGAGAAAAAAATTCAGTTTTCTTATTTAACAGGCACACCGTGTATATGTCGATGCTTCATTCTCAACACATAAAATACGATAGAAAAAGTTTTAATTGAACTAAACGGCAGTGTTATTTCAACTGCGAAACAGTTCGATGAATCGATTTATCACACAAATATCATTCGTTGCAGTGAATTGCATTTAATGTGTAAAACGAAATCGTTTAATAATAGTCAAACATGCATTTTTCACGCACGTACAGAAATTCATACCTTATTGTCCCGCATAAAACCATTCATGATACTCTCTAAATTTCTTAGAGTAAAATCTAACTCCAAACGAGTGGATATTTACTCCAAGCAATAGTGAAAATACTGCCACTTGTAAATAGTAAAAATTTACTTTTCACAAAAGTGATTGTTTAACTCTAACGTAGAGTAATGTATTACTCGTTCCGGCGTGAATAATTCACTCGATCAAAAAATGAAATCTTCAGTCTTTCGTCAAGCGAATTTTTCACTCAATTGTTACGAATGAACAGATTCACTCTTAATAAGTCTTCTAAGCCGGTTTTCACACTGACAATGAGATAGCATGCTACATACGACGTAAAGTTTTGATTAGATGAAATGAGAAGCAGTGTCATTGCTTCTCATGACACTGCTTCTCATTTCAACTAATCGAAGCTGCACGTCACACGTAGCATGTTACCTTAGTGTGAAAGTTGACCTTTTTTCTTGTCGCAGCCATATATAGATACATATAACATTAAAATTAAGAAAAAACATATGCTTACAAATTTTACAATTTTACGAAATATTTTGCAAAATAAAAAGATATATCCCTAAAAAGTCACTTGCATTTGATTGTGTGGTGAGCCGATTAATAAAGTATTATTATTAAAAATTTTCTTTTTGCTAAAATAAGAAATAAATAGTTGTAAAATTCGAAATGACGAAATGACATTTAAAAAATAGGCTAATTTTACGGCTATTTATTAATTATTAAAGCAAAAAGAAAATTTTCAAAATATACACTTTACCAATCTCTTAACTGATCACAAGTGTCATTTTATGGACATTATGTTTCAGTGTATTTTGTAATTTGCAGTATGTATTTTCTCGCTTTTAACGTAGTCAATCAAGCTGACTGCGATGAGAAATCAAAACCTGGAACTAAAATAATATATTAAAAAAAAAGTAAATAATGTATAAATAAGAAATAGACAAAGTAATATTTATTATCTATATTATTGACAAAGTAATATATATTATAAACACATTATTAAGACGTCATTTTTATGTTATTTATTATTTCTTCATCATCATCAGATAATCTGTAAAAATAATTAATTTATTATTTCTCAAATAAAATATCTCCCTCATCTAGAGGCTTGCAAAAGTTTGTCATATTTTTTATAAGTTTTACTTAAAAATTAAAGTGAATAATTTTACAAACACGGAATTAAAAGAAAACCTGAAGTGATACAAAAAGTGTGATAAAAATAACAGATACTTTAATTGAACGACATATATACTTTTGTTACTATTAATAAATAAATTAAAATAAAAAGTACGACCAACTTTTAAAAAAACTTCTCTAACATATATTTACCTATATTTTATATATATATATATATACTTACTCATGT